CATCCTACCCACCCACGCCATCCTACCCACCCACGCCATCCGACCCAACCACAGCGGTACCTAGGACCTCGGAGCAGCAGGGGACTTTAGTGAGAAGTCATTTATCCCTGTCAGCAGATGAGAAAACTGAGGCCCAGGGAGGGGAAGCATCTTGCCCAAGGTCACACAGTGAGTTAGTGTCAGAACCAGAACAGGGTCCAGCCTCCTGTCACCACCTTCACTCACCCAACCCTGGGCCCCTTCCGCCCTCACCTCTGCAGCTGCCTGTCCCCTGTGGCCCCTGTGCAGCTTCTCCCTGCTGGCCCCTCCACTCTGCCCAGCCCCTCCTGGCACTGCTCCGATACCCTCCCTGCCTGTGCCTCTTGCAGGGTCCCCCTCACCGGCACCCGTGCGCCGGGCCCAGAGCTCCCTGTGCTTGCGGGATGAGACCCTGGCAGGTGGGCAGCGGCGGAAACTCAGCTCAAGATTTCCCGTGGGGCGAAGCTCTGAGTCATTCAGCCCCGGGGACACCCCGCGGCAGAGATTCCGACAGCGGCGCCCAGGCCCGCTGGGGGCACCCAGCTCCCATGGCAAAGGTGAGGGAAAGGGTCCCTCCTCCCACTAGCCCCCCAGTTCCCTGTGGACCCACCAGCTCCATGGGGGAGGGGGCTTCCTTCCTGTCTCCTGTGTCTCCCCACAAGCCCTGTTGCCTCTGTGTTGGTCCTCATGGCCCAGTGGCTGCCTTGTGCCCCCCCAGGACCTAGCGTGGGATGGGATGGCTCTGTCGAGACCCTGGCGGAGCGCGAAGCAGATGCCAACAGAGAGGGTGAGTGGGGGCCTGGGAAGGAGGGCAGGTAATTGCCCTGCCTGGGGCCCCTGGCAGGCCTCAGTCGCCCATTCACTCATTTGACAATGAACCTTTACGACGTGCCAGGTGATGTGCTAGCTGGGGATACAGCAGGGAACGTTCTGGTGTGGGGAGGTGGGAGACAGCGAATAATGTGCATAAAAATAATAATTATCTACAACGGCTCATCCAATAGAAACCTGATGTGAGCTCCACGTGTAATTTAAAGTTTCTCAGTAGCCTCATCAGGAGAAGTAGAAAGAGGCATGTAAAATCAGTTTTAATAATATATTTTGCTTAACTCAGTATGCCTAAACTATTATCATTTTAATGTGTAGTCAGTATAAAAGTCATTAATGAGGTATTTTATATTATTTTTTTCACACTAAGTCTGAAGTCCAGTGGTATTTTATACCCAAGCACATTGCAGTTCAGACCGGCCACATCTCACGTGCCCAGTCCTATACCGGGCAGCTCAGCCCTAGGATATTAGGAGGTGATGGTGTTCTGGGAAGACAGGAGAGCAGGGCGAGTGAGATCAGGAGCACCGGGCGGCAGAGGGAACAGCCGAAGCGAAGGCCTGGCGTGTCTGAGGCCTGGCAGGGCAGCCGGGAGTCCCCGGAGGGAGCGAGCCTGAGCTGAGCTTTTCCCTCCAGACGTCGAGGTGCAGGAATCGGAGAAACGGGCTCTCGCGCCTTCCCTCAGCCAGTGACACTGCGTGGATGGGGAGCTTGGGAGTGGAGTCTTCTCGACTCTGGAGTCTCACCGGGGGCGCCAGGCAGCCCAAGAATCTGGGGAGGCAGGGCACTTGTGGCGAATCCTTGGACAGGGAGGCCTGGGCCCCCAGATCCTCCACAGCCTGCACTGGGGCCCCGAGCTGGAGCTGGGATGACTTTATGGACAGGGCCGATGGCCGGCCCCCACAAACGGCTCCCGCCTGGGGCTCCGCCATGCGGCCCTTGCTGAGGAGGTGGTCTCCGGGACAGCCGCCAGCTGAAGGAGGCAGGCAGGAGTGGGCAAGAGAGCCCCCTGCCCGGTCCAGACGGTGAGTCAAGGACAATTTCCCGGGGACTGTGGCCTGGGCCCATCTCTGAGCCTTAGCTGGGATGTGAGGGACACGAGAATAAAGCTGGGATGCAACCACCTGAATCTGTGCCCTGTGTCTACCAGCCGCATCTAGGAGCCACTAGGTGCCAGGACACATGTGGCCTGGGATCCTTCTCTGCTGTCAGAGGCCTGTGGCCATTGGCCTCCTTGCCCTTCATGGGGCAGCAAGGGGCTTTCTTCAGGGGAGGGGCCCGCTGGGCTGGCCTGGATGTCGCAGTGGTGGGGGGAGGGGGCAGAGGTTCTGGGTAGCCAGCAGAGCGGGTAGGGTCTGAGTCTGGGCTCAGCCTTTGCTTGAAAGGTGAGGTCTGGGCTCCCGAGTGTGGGGCAGGAGAAGTACCCAGAGGGCCTGCGCCCGCCCCCTGTACCCTCTTCTCTCCTTTTATTTCTTCCTGCCTCCTCATCCTCTCTCCTCCATGCCTTTGGGGCTGAGCCCCTCGCCAGGGAATTTACCGCCCTTGGGGTGTCGCCTGGTGTCGGGGGCTGTTGTGGAGGGACACACGAGGTGGGAAGGACGCCGGGGTCTCTGACCAGGGCCTCTAGGATGACGCCCGGGAAGGGGGCCATTAGCCTGGGCGGCAGGACGTGAGTCAAGGCACCTGGGGCCGCCCAGAGTAGGGTGGGGCTGCCCGGCTGAGGTGAGGCAACCTGAATCTGGGGGTGGGGAGAGCTGGGAGGGGTGGCCAGGCCAGCCTCCCCAGGGTGACCTATTGCAGCCTGACTCACAGGGTTTCCACAGCCCTCCCCTTGGGGATAACCCACCGCTCTGCCTTCCTTCTCTCAGCCTGAGTTTCTGAGGTTGGTGGCATGGGAGTGGACCCCCCTGGCCTCCAGTGGGGTTGAGCAGCTGGAAGCCCCTCCTACAGGCCTCAGGGCAGGGGGCTTTGTTGGCTGCCCGACCCTGTTGGTGGCCCCTGTCAGTTGTCAGGGAGGGGGACAAGGCGCTGGGCCTGATGGGGAGAGCAGGCCACACCTATGTGGCTCTGACACCCCTTTTGAGGTCTACTTTGTGCCAGGCTTGGGAACCACAAGGGGCAGAGCCACATCGGGGTGCGCGCACTGGGTGGGCTGTGAAGGGTGCCTGGGGGCTGAGGTGCTTTTATAGGTCCACTTGCTTTAGGAAGATTCGGTCAGAAAATCGGCTGCCCCTCCCTGCTGGGGGTTGGGCTGGGCTCCCTCTTGGTGCCCCTTGTAGGTAAGGGGAGCCCAGAGACAAGGCTTGGTCCTCAGGGTGCCTGTGCCCCCAGGCCTCCCCGGCAAAGGCAAGTCTGCAGGGGAGAGGGTCTCGCTGGCTGCCGGGGGTATAGACAGGGAGCTGGGCTGGGCCGGGCGGCTTCTGGGACCCTCTTAGCCTGCCCAGCACCAAGAGCGAGAGCCCTGCTGAGTGAGAGGCGCAGGGCTGGGGCTGGGCTGGCAGTAGCTGGACAAGGGTGGCCGTGTGGCTTCAGGCTGCTCGTCTGGCAAGGGGACCGACAGATCCCCTCCCCTATTTGCTGAGGTCAAGGAGTGATCAAAAACGAGGCAAGTGGGTTGTGATTTTTATGAAATCCCTCACTTTCGCTGGTGGCTAAGAATTGGACAGAGCTGCTTGGCTGCCCTTGGGGCTGGCACCCTGGAGGGGAAGGCGGCTCTAAAGTACCTGAGTGGGACCCCCATCCCCCTTGGGACACAGCCTGACGTGGACTTACCGCCCTGGGGCCAACACCTGGCTTGGGAGTGTCCGCCCCACAGAGGCCCCAGGTTATCCACGGACCCCAGGCACGGCTCCTAAGGGGTGTTCCCAGGTCCCCAGGATGGTCGCCTGGGGCCCAGAGCGCACAGCCCTAGCACCAGCCCCCTGCGCCTGCGGGAGATGGGACCGCCCCGTCCGCCCGCCCCCCGCCCGGCGCTGTCACGTTCCAGCGCCTGACTCAGGCCGCGCGGGGCGGGGAGCAGGGAGGCGGCGCCGGCGCCCGCCTCAGCCCCGGAGGCGGCACCAGGAAGCTCCCGCCCCGGCCGGAGCCGCCATGTAACCGGCGCCGCCCGGAGCTGAGCCTCGCGGGCCCCAGCGACCCGCCGGCCATGGGGGACGAGGACGAGGACGAGGGCTGTGCGGTGGAGCTGCAGATCACCGAAGGTGGGGCATAGGTGGCCCGGGGTGCAGGCCGGGTGATGGCTGCCCAGGCCGGCTGGGAGGGTTCATGCACGGGCTGGGTTCATTTGCCCCCTGTGCCCGCAGCCAACCTGACCGGGCACGAGGAGAAGGTGGGCGTGGAGAACTTCCAGCTGCTCAAGGTGCTGGGCACGGGAGGTGAGGAGCCCTATCCACCGGCAGGTGTCCCAGGCATGGTGCCCCGGGCCTCCCGCTTGCACACCCACCTGGGTTGGGCCAGGCTGCCGGCAGTGCTCCCCAGCCTCTCCCTGCCCTGCCTGCTTTGCCCTGCCCTGCCATGGTTTGCATGCCGACCCGCAGGGCTGCTCCACGTTGACGTCGCTCCTCCCTGGAAGGTCCTCTGGGATCTGCCAACACTCTTGGGGGCTTGCAGCTCTCCTGTGTGATTTCACAGCTCCTCCCCTTGCGGGATATGAGAGCCCTCTCCCCCACTTTGCAAACTCCCCTCCTCGGGTTTGACCGGCCCTCCCCTGTCTGCGTGCACCTCTGCCTCCCTTCCCTGGCTTTGCATCCTCTTGCATCTGTCTCATCTTCCACAGGTTTGCACATGACCCGCCCTCCACCCCACCCCCACCCCCGCTGCAGGCCTCCCGGAGTTGTGTGCCCCCCAGCCTGGTTTGCACATCCCCTCCCTGGTTTTGCTGAGCACCCGCCCGGGGGTGTGCACACCTTTTCCTTAGAAGGCTCTGCCAGTTTTTGCACACCTGCCTCTCACCCCAGCTCCTTCCCCCGACTTGCACACCCTCCTGGCTTGGCAGCGTGCCCACCCTCACCCGTCTGCACCACCCTCCTGTTCATGGCCTACCCTCCGCCCACTCGCTGCTCCCACAGCCTACGGGAAGGTGTTCCTGGTGCGGAAGGCGGGCGGGCACGACGCGGGGAAGCTGTATGCCATGAAGGTGCTGCGCAAGGCGGCGCTGGTGCAGCGAGCCAAGACGCAGGAGCACACGCGCACGGAGCGCTCCGTGCTGGAGCTGGTGCGCCAGGCACCCTTCCTGGTCACGCTGCACTACGCCTTCCAGACGGACGCCAAGCTGCACCTCATCCTGGGTAAGGGCAGACACCTTCCAACCCTGGGGGCCATGGAGGCGGGGGGGCCACCCCAGGGGGCTACTCCGCGACTTTCACCCACCTCCCGCCCCCAGACTATGTGAACGGCGGCGAAATGTTCACCCACCTGTACCAGCGCCAGTACTTCAAGGAGGCTGAGGTGCGCGTGTATGGGGGCGAGATCGTGCTGGCCCTGGAACACCTGCACAAGGTGGGTGAGGACCTGGCCACCTGGCTGTGGCCGTGGGGACTGGGCCTGGGCCTTAGAAGGGGCCTGTGAACCTAGTGGCCTTGGGCTTTTTGAGGGCTGGTGGCCTCGGTGGGGACGGGAGCTGCTTCCCGTAGGCCTCCTGGAAGGAAGGCCCCGGTGCTGCCTGGTGGGGTCTCCTCCCCTGGGGTCTCCTCAGAGGGGCTTCCCTCTCACAGGGAGCGCGAGGCTGCTTCCTGGGGCCACGTTCACAGAACTTCTGCAAACGGAGACCTCATGCCTTGGCTCCCAAAGCCGTCATGAGATGGGGCTCCTCTCCCTGGGAACTTGGGGCCTGCTCCCTTGTGGCCTCTCCAGGGTGTCCTCTTCCTTGCTTTTACATCTTAAATGGCTTTTCCTATCTAATGGTCCAGTCCCACCCCGGCCCCGCACCAGCACTGGAGATCCCCATCCCCAGGGACCAGGTGCAGGGACAGGAGCAGAGGGTGTCGGGGGAGGGATCCTCAGGGCCTTCTTGCTCCTGCCAGCTGGGCATCATCTACCGAGATCTGAAGCTGGAGAACGTGCTCCTGGACTCCGAGGGCCATGTCGTCCTCACGGACTTCGGGCTTAGCAAGGAGTTCCTGACAGAGGAGGTGAGTGAAGGGCAGCCTCGGCCTCCCGCACTCCCGTGCGGGCCGTCCCTTCCCGGCTCCCGCTTCATGCCTGGCTCTGCGTTTCTTGGTGGTGCAGAGGTGAGTAGATCCAGGCCCTGCCTTCGGGGAGTTCCCACTGCTCCGACCCTCACAAGTCCACGAGTCTTAACTCTGAGCCTTGGGCGGGTCCTCTTGCCCTCCCAGAAAGAGCGGACCTTCTCCTTCTGTGGCACCATCGAGTACATGGCCCCCGAGATTATCCGCAGCAAGTCGGGCCACGGCAAGGTGGGTTGGCGGGGGGTCAGAGGGGTGGGTGTGGCGAGGTAGGGGTGGCCGCAGGCCCTCACCCTGGCTCTGCCCCGCAGGCTGTGGACTGGTGGAGCCTAGGCATCCTGCTCTTCGAGCTGCTGACGGGGGCCTCGCCCTTCACCCTGGAGGGCGAGAGGAACACGCAGGCAGAGGTGTCTCGGTGAGCAGGGCTGGAAGCAGAGGGCGGCTGAGGGGCCTGGGCAGGGCTGGAGGGGGGGCCTGCTGCCCCTGACGCCCCCCCACCAATCCTCCCAGACGGATCCTGAAGTGCTCCCCTCCCTTCCCCCCCCGGATCGGGCCAGTGGCACAGGATCTACTGCAGCGGCTGCTTTGCAAGGACCCCAAGAAGCGGCTGGGTGCAGGACACCAGGGGGCGCAGGAAGTTAAGAACCACCCCTTCTTCCAGGTGAGGCTCCTGGCTCGCCCCCATACCTGTCTGCACACACCGGGGCCAGGCTACTGCTCTGGGTTGGGGGACACTGGAGGGATGGTCTGAGGCTGGCCAGTTTCACTTGATTAGGAAAACCTCTCAGATGAAGAAAGCAGGCTTGTCTTCTCAGCCGTCTCTATTGCAACTTGGAAGATGTGTTCTTGGCGGGAAAGCATTCATTGCCTGGTAGGGCTGGCAGGGACTTGAGAATGAATTCATCAGTCCTTTCATTGGACAGGTTCAGAGGAGCAAGGTGGCTTGCCCAAGATCACACAGTAAAAGTGTAGAGCTGGGAACAGACCCCAGGTCTGCTGTCAGCCCAAATCTTATGACTCTTGCATCCACTCAGGGTTTTGGTCTTTGTATCTGTACAGGCTGTGTGCCTCTTCTTCAGATGGACATGTCTGAATCAACCACGTGGGTTTTGTTCACTTGTTAAAAGCACACACAGTTTAAGGTGCAGTGCAGAGTGAATTCTGTCCTTGTGAGACCTCACTGGCTCGGGCACTATACCTGGCCAGCATCACTGCCGAGCAGGGCCCTGTGACTGTGAACACCTGTGTCTTGGCCCCTTGCTTGCATTATTTCATGTAAGCCTCAGAACCTTCCTGATTATCTTCATCTTTACAGATGAGGAAACTGAGGTTCAGAGAGGTTAAGTAATTTGCCCAAGATCACTGAGCTAAGTGATGGAGCTTAGATTTAAACCCGCATCTGGGTGTCTTGAAGGCCCACGCTCTTAACTGTTGTGTTCTGTTTACATGTGGGTATTAAATTTGCCTTGTCTGACGTAGAAACAGAGGCATCCGCTAATGGGCACTTACAGTGGGCCAGACATCCAGTTACCCTTGCTATGAGTGCCATCTCCTTGAATCTTCCCAGCAAGTACTGCTTGGAAGGGCCCTCAGAGAAGCTTTCTCGGACAGGAGTCTAAGTCTCTGCAGTGAAGATGTCCCTTTGTGGGTGAAATGACTGAACAGTGTCAGTTTCCTTAAGTGAATTCCTCAACCCGCCCTGAGCACATGCCAGGCTCCAGGTGCTGGGAGTAGCTGGACCAGTAGTCACACTGGAGAGGCGCCCCAAGGTTTTCGAGGCCTGATGGTGCCCTTATTCCCCCTTCTCTTGAGATAGCCTCTTTGGTGATAGCAATGCTCAGGTCCCTGGTGCCAGAACTGGGGCCTTCAAGCCCGGGCCGGGCCTCTAGGCTGCAAGTGACAAAAAGTCCAACTCAAGATGGTGATATCTGTGGAATAGAGTCTGGCTGCTAAGAACAGAGATAGGAATGAATAGTGGTCTAAACAAGATAGACGTCTATTTATTTATTTATTTTCTCACATAAAAGAAATCCAGAAGTTGGCAGGCTGGGGCTGCTGTGGTGTCTTCATGAAGCCAAGTTCAGTTTCTTTTTTTTTTCTTTTTAAATGCTCCTCTATTCTTAGCACGTAGCCTCTGTCCCCAAGGTTGCCTCGTGGTACAAGATGACTGCTGGAGCTCTTGCTATCTAGGTTGCTCTCCAGGTGGGAAGCACGAAGAAGAAGGAGTGGAAGGGCAAAAAGGGCACCTTACCAATGGTTCACCCTCCTCTTCAGGCTCTTTCCCTGGATTCCTACCTCGTAATTTTTGCTTACAAGTAACTGGTCACTGCTAGCTGCAAGGAAGTTTATAAAATACTAGTTTTTAGATGTGTACATTGGTTCCTGAAATAAAATTGGGGCTATAGTACTAAGGAAGACCAGGAGAGTGGATGTTGGGCAGGCAACGAACAGGCTCCGCTGTACTAGTTTAAACATGAAAGGAATGTTTTAGCTCCCATAAATGAAAAGTCCAAGGAAAAGTGGTCTGACTTCAGGCAAGGCTGCATCCAGGTGCTGAATCTATGTTATTAGGAATTTCTTTCTTTGTCTCTTCCTTCTGCTTTTCTGCACAGGCACTTCATCATTAGACATTGAGGGGGTCCCCAGCAGTTCCAGGCCCATATCCTCCCAGATTTAAGTCCAGTAGGAGAAAGAGATTTGTTTTTTCTTTTTTTTTTGCACATCAATTCTATTAAAAGCCTTAGAGTTGGCTGAGTGTGGTGGAGGGCTGGTTCTCCAAGAGAAATAGGGATTCTGTTATCAGAGAAAGGGAAACAGAAGCTGGGGAGGCAGGAAGAACAGCTTCCCACACAAATGCCAGTGAGACCTTTGCCTCACTGAGGAGCTGCCTGCTGAGGGTGGCCTGAGTGGACAGGGGTTTCCACTTCCTGCCCTTTGACCCCTTGTCTCTCATTCCTTTTCTCCAGGGTCTGGATTGGGCTGCTCTGGCTGCCAGGAAGATTCCCGCCCCATTCCGACCCCAGATCCGCTCAGAGCTGGATGTGGGCAACTTTGCAGAGGAATTTACCCGGCTGGAGCCTGTCTACTCACCCCCTGGAAGCCCCCCACCTGGGGATCCTCGCATCTTCCAGGTGAGTGAGTGTTCGTAGAACCACAGATGCGGGGGAGGCAGGAGCTGCTCAGCCTTAGCCCTGGCTGACCTGCGGGCACTGCACAGGCCCTGTGTCCTCATCAGGAGCCAGCATCTCCTCTAGATCTCTCCACTGTGTGGAACCTACAGTTGTCAGTCATAGAGACCACCTGGGCAGGACGTGCCTTTGAATTTCCTGGTTTATCTTGAAATTTCATGTTAATTTCCCTTCTTCTCCATCATATCTCTATTGTTATGTAAAAATACTGTTTTAAATTATTCACTTGCTTAAGGGGACACTTAGGAAGAGATGCCTTGTTTATACTGTGGCTTTGCACGTCCCTCTGGCACATCATATCACACTCCTGGGGGCATAGGCCCCCTCCACCCAGTTTTAGAAGCTTAGGCCTGTTGGACCAGTCCCATCTCCTTTGCTCGGCATACAAGGCCTTGCACGATGTGGTCTCTGCTCAGAGCCCTAGCCTCAGCACTCTGTTATTCCACTCAGTGCTCTAGCATCTCTGAACTGCTCAGAGGTGCCAGAACACACCTCTGTACCTTTGCATATGTGGTTCCCTCAACCTGGAGGGTATAGTTGCTCACCTGGCAAAATTCAAGCCTTGTTGTCCAGTGTTGTCCGCATATGAAGTCTTCCCTGCTCCTCTGGCCCTGGGTCACCCTTTCCTTGTGCACCAGCCTGCTACAGACAAAATCTCCTTCTAAACAGTTTGTCAGGTTTTATCCTGGCACTGACTGAGACTGCCTCACCTGGTCTGAAGCTCCCAGAGGGCAGGGACTGTGTGTTTAATTTCTGTGTCCCTGAGTCCAGCTGGTAATTTCTGCGTCCCTGAGTCCAGCTTGGGGGCCTGGCCTGTAGGACATGGTCCATAAATATTAAATAAGAATAGGCCAATATCAAGTATGGATGGATCAGTTCCCCTCTATGAAGCTCTCACAAGGGACAGCTCTGTGCTTGAATATCCCTCGATCTCCTGCGATCCATCCTCGATCTCACAGTCCTAATGAGCAAGTTTTCTTGTGAATCAGTGGTTACTTTCATTCATTCATTTAATGATTCAAAAGTACGTATTGAGTGCCTTCAATGTGCCAGGCACTGACCAGGGCACTAGGGACGTAACAATAAACTTGACAGACAATGATCCCACCCATGTGGAGCTTGCATTCTAGCGCACAGTGGCGCTGCATTTCTAGGAGAAAACAACACATTGTTAAAATTGCCCTTGAGAGTCCCTTGAATTGCCAGGATGTGGACTGTTAGGAAAGGCAAAGAATTAACTTTGGTTTCTCTTTACGTTTCCTCAGTAGCCCCCCTTGCAGAGGAGGCCAAAGTTTGATTTGAAAGGAAGGAATAAAGACTTTTTGTCCTGAGTGGGTAGAGTTGAATTCTCCTAAGTTAAGTATGTGTGATGCCAGGCCACAGTTCTTTCATGTATTCAGCCTATCATATTCTGGGCCACTACACTGTGTCAGATGATGCCCTTGGCACCTGGGGGGATCACTGTGATGGGAAAGGCAGAGTCACAGACTGGCGGGGGAACAGATATGCATGGTCCCAAGAGATCACAGAACAAGGTGGAATAAAATGTCCACGCATCCTGTGTGCACCGGGATGCAAAAGCAACATCCCCTACTCCAGGGTCTTTCCTCTGCCCCCGCCCTCCTTCCCGCTGGGTCTGGGCCTTCGGGGACTCCATCTGCACCTCCATCTGCCACTGACAACACCCCTCCTCCGCCAGGGATACTCCTTCGTGGCACCGTCCATCCTGTTTGACCACAACAACGCGGTGATGACCGATGTGCTGGAAGCGTCTATTGCTGGAGACCGGCCTGGCAGGGCAGCGTTGGCCAGGAGCGCCATGATGCAGGTGGGTTGGGCCAGGGTGGGGAGAAGTGGGCTTGGGGACTCCAGATGTGGCTTCAGCAGGCGCATGCTGTGGCTTCGGTGAGGTTCGTAGCCTCTCTGAACAGGGGCGTGGCATGGCCGCAAGGCTCCCGGTAGGACCTCTGACGCGTCCCCTTCGCCCCCAGGACTCGCCCTTCTTCCAGCAGTACGAACTGGACCTGCGGGAACCCGCGTTGGGCCAGGGTAGCTTCTCCGTGTGTCGCCGCTGCCGCCAGCTACAGAACGGCCAAGAGTTCGCGGTCAAAATCCTCAGCCGCAGGTGGGCGGGCCCGGGGTGGGCTGGGTTCTGCTGAGCGGATTCGGGGAGGGCGGGGCCGGAGGTCAGCTGTCCTGACCCCGCCTGCCCTGCCCCCAGGCTGGAGGCGAACACGCAGCGCGAAGTGGCCGCCCTGCGGCTGTGCCAGTCGCACCCCAACGTGGTGAAGCTGCACGAAGTGCATCAGGACCAGGTGACGCCTTCCTGGGCTAGGGCGGAGCCCAGGGACGCTAGAGCCTGCCCGTGGGGGGCGGGGAGGAGGACAGGAGGCGGGGCCTGAGAGCGCCATGGGCGGGGCCTGAGGACCCGGAGGTCAGGGAAGTGGGATTTCAGGGGAGTAGGGCCTGAGGACCGGAAGGCGGAGCTGAGGATGGCCAAGGGAACGGGGCAGGGGGAGGATTTAGGGCGGCGAGTTTTAAGGTGGCCAAAGGGACGGGGGCCTGGAAAAAAGTAGGGGGTAGAAACTGAAGCGAGTCCCAAGGTGGTTCTTGGGGTGGTCTTGAGGTCAGGGTTCAAACTGAAGCCGGGGGCGGAGCTTGATGTTGACCGCGGGGCAGGATCTGGCTGGCCCCGGTGGGGGTGGGGGGGCGGCCCGGTTGGGTAGGTGGTGACAGTAACCCAGGTGGTGACCTTGGCCCGTCGCGCGGCCCGCAGCTGCACACGTACCTGGTCCTGGAGCTACTGCAGGGTGGGGAGCTGCTGGAGCACATCCGCAAGAAGCGGCACTTCAGCGAGTCCGAGGCGAGCCAGATCCTGCGCAGCCTCGTGTCGGCCGTGAGCTTCATGCACGAGGAGGCGGGGGTGGTGCACCGCGACCTCAAGCCCGAGGTGGGCGCGGGGCCTCAGCGGACTGGGAGGGCTTCGGCGCGGAGGGCCAGTCTCTGACGGCCGCCTCGCCGCCCTCATAGAACATCCTGTACGCCGATGATACGCCCGGAGCCCCGGTGAAGATCATCGACTTCGGGTTCGCGCGTCTGCGCCCGCAGAGCCCAGCGGGGCCCATGCAGACACCCTGCTTTACGCTGCAGTACGCGGCCCCCGAGCTGCTGGCGCAGCAGGGCTACGACGAGTCCTGCGACCTCTGGAGTCTCGGCGTCATTCTGGTATGGGACGGGGTCTCCGAGGAGATGTCAGGGTCCTCCGAGCCTGGGGACAGGAGTTTCTCTTGTTGGGGTGGCAGGGTTTGGTCTGAGGCTGGGGTCAGAAGTCGTCCTAATACAGAGGCGAGGTCTCTCTGGTGCTGGGGTCCGGGCATCCTAGTTTTAGGAGTTGGAAGTCAGAGTTCATAACCCGTGGGCCTCAGGAGTTAGCCTCTTGGAGAAGGTCTGGACTGGTCTCACTTTTCACTCCCCAGTACATGATGCTGTCAGGCCAGGTCCCCTTCCAGGGGGCCTCAGGCCAGGGCGGGCAGAGCCAGGCGGCGGAAATAATGCGCAAGATCCGCGAGGGGCGCTTCTCCCTTGACGGGGAGGCCTGGCGAGGCGTGTCCGAGGAAGCCAAGGAGCTGGTCCGAGGTGCGAAGCCGGAGGTCACAGGCCATGGCTGGGGAGGGGGAGGCCATGGGGTCATGATGGGACAGGGTTTGCTACTGGGTCAGGTGTCCTGGTGGGGGACTTGTGGGGAGGAGAGTGGGGCTGCTAGGATGTCTCTGCGGCGCAGCCTCTACACACAGCCCCCCAACACTTCCCCTGTCCTGCCTCCAGGGCTCCTGACTGTGGACCCCACCAAGCGGCTGAAGCTCGAGGGACTGCGGGGCAGCTCGTGGCTGCAGGACGGCAGCGCGCGCTCCTCGCCTCCGCTACGGACGCCGGACGTGCTGGAGTCCTCGGGGCCAGCTGTGCGCTCCGGGCTCAACGCCACCTTTCTGGTGAGGGGCGGGGCCTGCGGGGGGTCCGGGACCGAGGCTGGAGAGGCAGAGCCTGCGGGAGGCGACTCCCGCAGAGTCCTGAGAGGTTGAGTTCAGCCGAGTCCAGGCCTCTGACCTGTCGGGACCCTGACCGTTTGAGAGGCTGCAGGCCAAAGACCTGTTGGCCCTGACCTAGTGGTATGGGAAGGAAGGCCTGGGATGGGGGCCAAAGCTAGGATTTGGAAGTCGAGGCCGGGCCGGTGGAACTTACCGCCTCCTTTCCGCCAGGCGTTCAATCGGGGCAAACGCGAGGGTTTCTTCTTGAAGAGCGTGGAAAACGCGCCGCTGGCCAAGCGGCGGAAACAGAAGCTGCGGAGCGCCGCCACATCCCGCCGCGTCTCCCCCGTGCCCGCCGTCCCGGGCCGGGCACCCGCCGCCAAGGGAGCCCCCCGACGAGCCAACGGTCCCCTGCCCCCCTCCTAGCCTCCGTCACTGTGACCCTCTCCCCGGTCGGGGCTGTGTTCTAGGAGGCCGGCTCACTGCCCCCAGGCCTCCTGTATAGCTCCGCCCCATCCCCAGGGATTGTTACCCTTCTCTCCCCTCCCCCCCTACCCCACCCCCAGACAGAGCAGAAGTATTTTTATAAGCAGAGAATTTTTTTAATGTCTTACCGGATAGAGTTAGAGATGCAGGGAGGGAGGGGGCCTGCTGGGGAGTGGAGTGGGGGGCCCTCTGCCTAGATGCGGCCTCATCTGGTGGAAGGTACTTCTCCCCCAGGGGGCTGCCCTGGCAGGGGAGGGCTCCTCCTCCATTTCTAAGCACTGAGTTGCCACAGGGAGAAACTGGGACCTCTCCCCTGCCCTCCCCTGAGGTCCTGCTCTTGGGAGGGGGCACCCCTCAAGCTGTCACTTTATGGACTGTTCGTGCAATTACGTCCACCAAAGACCTGTGTCGGGGGTGCTCAGTGAGAGGCCCTGGGGGACCCCCTGAAGCATTTCTGCCTCACTTCATGTCACCTGCTTCCCCCTATTGAGGCTAAGGAAGGAGGTAGGCGATCCCCTAAAAGGGGAGGCCCCCTTCTCACCCATCCCCTCCCCTTTGGCACAGCTGCCCCTAGCTGGGGGTGGCACCTTGGGGGTCTGGGGTGGGCATCCACAGTCACTGCCTCAGCCCATCCAGGCTGTGCCTTTGACTTAAAAATAAAAGTCTACCCAGTGCTGTGTGTGGCATGTGTGTGTGTATGTGTTGGGGGTGTGTATAGGCAGAGGTCTTGGGGCTACCTGCCAGCCAACGGGGCCTGAAACCTCAAAGAGGAGGGACAGGGCAGACCCTTCTGGGTAAGATGGTACCCTTTGTTCTTGGTTTTTGACATGAGGGTCAAACAGTTATCTTGGGTGTGTATCTGATACCTCCGCCGTGTATCATTTCGGATTCTCCTGGTTGTAAGTAGTAGAAAACCCAACCTAAACTTGCTTCAGCAGAACAGGACTTCTAGGCTTTTTGAACTACACAATCCAGGGGTAGCTTCAGGCGCGACCTGATCAGGATGCAAACATGATCAGGACTCAGCTCCCCAGTCTCAGCTTTTTATTCTGTTGTGGGCTTTTTTGGTGTTGTTGCAGACTTGGAGGATTCTCCTTTTGGCCCCAAGATGGGTGGCAGGTGCTCCAGGGAGCTACAGATTGAAATCTGGTGATAAAGAGAGTCTTTGTCTTAGCGTTCCTGGCAGGAATCCTGAGATGTACTCCAATTGGATCCATTTAGGTCAAGTGCCTACCGTGAATCAATCGCTGTGGCCAGGGATGCAGTGTGCTGATTGGCTTAGATCTGGATCTTAGACTCCCCTCTGCAACCTCATTGGGTGGAGAGCAGGAGAAGGGGTGGTCCCTAGATAGAGGTCAGTTGGACAGGGCTTGGTTCCGGCCAGGGAGGGAGAGCAGGAGGGGAGCAGCTCATACCCACGGCTGTGGCAGTGATCAGAGTGTGCCCCTCTCAAGGGGCGTGAGACTGCCCTTGTGTGATCCCTACTGGGTGGTTGTGGCCATAGGGCAGTTTGGCCTGAGCGCCTCTGTGCCCCCCCAGGTCAGGGCTGTTTGTCCGTATAGTGCAGATGTCCTGAGAGCCCCAGCCCCCTGCCTGGACACTATGGGCTGCTGCAGGCCTCTCTCCCCATAGGCACCCTGTGGGGTCATCTCAGCGTGGACCTTCCCCTCCTGTTCTGAGGTTTGCCTCTTAGAGGAGGAGGTAACTGGAGGCCTGGGGACAGGAGCTGGGGCCCCACAGATGCTGAAGTCAGGGCAAAGCCAGGTGGGTCTGGTGGGCAGGTGGGACCCCATGGGTGTGGGTCAAGGGCAGTTGTGGGGGTGTGGGAACACCCAACTGTATCCCATCCTATGGGTCTGAGGGAGGAGAGGGGGGCCCAGGAGAAGGTCGGAGGGAGGGGAGGGGAAAGCATCGCTAATTCTGACTCTTGTTTTACTGACCGTGTGACTTGAGTAAGTCACTTAACAGTCCCAGGCTTCCCCATTTGTCAAGAGGGAGTCATGGCTGTCAGGATGAACTAGAGGATGAACATATGTGAGAGTGGGGTCATTTAACGACCAAGTATTTACTGGGATTTACTGAGGTCTTCCAGTGTGCGGGGACTGCCCTGAACACTACATGGCTTCTCTCATGGAATCCCCACGACTAGCTGATGAAGAAAACACCATTTCCATTTAATAGAGAGAAAAGTGAGCCTCAGTGAAGGTCAGCACCTTGCTCAAGGTCACTCAGCTAGAAGTGCCTTCCATCCCGGTGGTCTGATTCCAGACTTCCCTCAACCATAGGAGTTCTGTAGTGAGGATGGGCTTTAATTTTACCCCAAGGCTGGATGTTTGGATTGTTTAAAACTTTGTTTCTATCATAAATGATGTGGAGACAAGTTGGTACATAAATCTGTGCATTTAAAAAATACCTTGGACTTCCCTGGTGGCACAGTGGTTAAGAATCTGCCTCCAATGCAGGGGACACAAGTTTGATCCCTGGTGCAGGAAGGCCCCACATGTCGCGGAGCAACTAAGTCGCTGCACCACAACTACTGAGTAAATAAAAATAAAGTAAATAAATAAAGTAAATAAAAATTAAAAAATAGCTTTATTGAGGGAATTCCCTGGCGGTCCAGTGGTTAGGACTTGGTGCCTTTACTGCTGGGGCCCGGGTTCAATCCCTGGTTGGGGAACTAAAATCCTGCAAGCCACGCTGAGCAGAAGGGCCAAAAAAAAAAAAAAAAAAAAAAATCACCGAATTGTCCTCTCAAATGGGTGAATAATGTGGTATATAAATTATACCTCAATTAAAAATATCTCAGTAGAGCTTTTTTTTTTTTGGCCGCTGTTTTCTTCTTTTTTTGGATCTTAGTTCCCTGACCAGGGATTGAACTCGGGCCCGGGCAGTGAAAGCGCCAAGTCCTAACCACTGGACTGCCAGGGAATTCCGCAGTGAGTTTTAGAATATTCGGAGTTGTACAACCATCATTGCATCATTGTACAACCATCAGTCTAGTTTTAGAACACTTTTTTTCACCTCCAAAAGAAACTCTGTGCCCACTGGCAGTCACTCTGCCTTTCCCCTGGACCTTCCAGCCCTAGACAACCATCATCTAAATCCTGTTTTGTAGATTTGCCTACATACTTTGATATATACTTTGAAATATACTTTCAAACATCCATTCACAAATATACTGGCATACAGTCTCAGAAGCAGGGTATGAAAATGTCACATTTCATTTTATGCTCACAAGCACTGAGTGTTATCACTCAGTGATAAAACCTTTGCTACTCTGATGGATAAAAAGTGGTCTCTTATCTGCAATTTCCTCACCCTCCATCCCACATAACTCACAGCCACCCTAAGAAAGAGGTCTTCCTAGTCTCATTTCATGAGACTCAGAGGATGGGAGTAACCCCAAGGAGGGAGCCTGTTGGATGGAAGGGACTGGGGCTCAGAGGAATGAGCAGCCTCGATCTGAGTCCTGCCTCTACCCGGAGTGGTCCGAGAACCTGCAGGGGAGACAGATGACACTTGGGCTGTAAGCTGGACAGGGTGTGACCAAGCAGAGTGGGCGGGGAGAGGGCGGCCACAGGCAGGGAGGTGGGGAGCTCAGAGGCAAGTGATCAGGGCTGCGGTCTGGCAGCCTGCTTCCTTCTACACCTTGACTTTGGTCTCTAACCAGCCCAGCCTTACGTGGAGGCTGTCTCTTCCGGGAGAGCTGGAAGGGCTCACCTTTCTGCATCGAGCCTCTAATTCCACTCTTAAATTGCCTCACGGGGTAGGCTCGGGCTCCCAGCTCTGTTAAAATGCTGATGCCCTTGAGAAGGCCTGGCAGCCCGTAAACATTCACCTCCCTCCAAGTCACTGTTAACCAGCTGCTGTTAGAACTGAAGTCGGGGTGCTTGCTTTTAGTCTGTGCCTTGCAACCACCATTTGACCCCTCCTTAACATCCCCTGCATCTCTCAACAAGAATATTCCACAGTCACGTAGTAGGGATTGCAAACTGGTACCAGTGCCTGGCCTAGAGAGACTTGTTATTTTGGGGGGCAGGGGAGACAGCACGTTTGTTTGTTTATTTATTTATTTATTATTTGCCTGCACTGGGTCTTAGTTGTGGCACGCTGGATATTCGTTGCCACATGTGGGATCTTTAGTCGTGGCATGCAGGATCTAGTTCCCTGACCAGGGATCAAACCCAGGCCCCCTGCATTAACCACTGGACCACCGGGGAAGACCCAGCACATGTTTCAAAATGAGAAATTGCATATGAAAGCCTGGATGTTTGACTTTTATTGATGGCCTGATCAGCCAAAGCAGAATCGTGTTGCCACATAGAGAGGGCCTCTGCTTTCTGGTTGGCCCCAGTCCCCACCACTCTCTATTGACCATACCAGCTCAGTCCCTCATTTATCTTCCTGAAACCTCTAGGTATCTGAGTTTGCAACTCTCATATAAATAGTCTCCTTCCACATTCACTGCTACACAAAAATGTGGTTTGTGAAATGTCGAAGATGCCCCATCAATCTTTTGTTTGTTTCAAAATTTAAATTTAGTTTGTATTGGGTTGGCCAAAAAGTTTGTTTGGGTCTTTCCATAAATAAACTCATATGGTTCAAAATTCAAAGGCTACAAAGGGGACTTCCCTGGTGGCTCAGTGGTTAAGAATCCACCTGCCAATGCAGGGGACACGGGTTCGAGCCTTGGTCCGGGAAGATCCCACATGGGGCTGAGCAACTAAGCCCGTGCGCCACAACTACTGAGCCTGCGCTCTAGAGCCCGCGAGCCACAACTAATGAGCCCACGTGCCACAACTACTAAAGCCCGTGTGCCTAGAGCCTGTGCTCTGCAACAAGTGAAACCACTGCCACGAGAAGCCCGCGCACCACAACGAAGAGCAGCCCCCGCTCGCTGCAACTAGAGAAAGCCCGCGCACAGCAACAAAGACCCAACGCAGCCAAAAATAAATAATAAAATAAATTTATATATAAAAAAAGGAAGTGTGTGAAAAAGTATTTAAAAAAAAAAAAGGCTACAAAGGTACATAGTGAAAAAGATTTTCTTCCATATGTCCTGACCCTTAGCCATTGACCTTTTGTTAACAGAGGCATCAATGTTACCAGTTCTTATGTCTTTCAGGAATATTTCATGTATAGTCAAACCAATATAATAATATGTACATATGATTGAAAAAATTCACCTTCACTGAATGTCAATTTTAGAAAAAAATCAGAAAATGCAAAAAGGAAAAAGTGAAAACGATTCGGTGGCCTAACTCTCCATAGATAATCTGTGTTAGTTAACATTTTGATGTATTCACTTTCTGATTTTTACTGATAGAGATTTTTAATGGAAATGGTATCAAATATAAATAAGTTGTTATAGCCTGTTGTAAACTCAGAAATAGATTGTATGTCAATAATTACATGAAACTTTTTTTGTAGTCACATAATATTCTATTGCATGGGTATACTATGATTTATTTAGACCGTTCTCTGTTTTTGGCTACTTGGGCTGTGTTCAATTCCTTGCTGCTTTTTTTTTAAAAGATATTTATTTGGCTGCGCCAGGTCTTAGTTGAGGCATGCGGGATCTTTGTTGTGGCATGCGGGATCTTTTTTTAGTTGCGGCATGCATGCGGGATCTAGTTCCCTGACCAGGGATCGAACCCGGGCCCCCTGCATTGGGAGCGT